AGCAATGAGGTGAGTCACATCAGTGAGGTGTGGCGATGTGGAGACCTGACCCGGGGTCAATCGCCTCAAAAACGCGAGGGGAAAATTTCACACGCGAAAGCAGACAACTCAGATATCAGAACCTGCTGCATCGATTGTTTTGAAACCTTCACCATCGGATGCACCATACCTGATTGCCTCTTGCAGGAGCCTGCAGTTGAAAATTTGGTGACCTCAGAGCGGGTCAAAAGTCGTTAAATTTCATAAATTCCAAAATTATTGATTGCAGACAACTCTGTGCTCAGAACCTATCAAGCCGATCGCTGCCAAGGCTCTACCATGCGCCATACCTGATTTCCTCCTGTTGCATTTGAAAATTTGGTGACCCTGAGTGAGGTTAAAAGTCGTCAAATTTCACAATTTCCAAACTTCTTACCTGCAGACAACTCATTCAGAACTTACCACTCCGATCTTCTCCAATGCTTCACCATTCGATTAGAGATACCTAGCAACTGCGATGCATATCATGAAGCCATACGCTATTTCTTTTGTAGTGCCTAAGCGTGGTCATTGTTCTTTTTATTTTTTGCAATCGTGGACATTACAGCGAAAGCATTTCTGCGTATTTCGTGTGCGAACGCAAGGGCGCTGTTTTTTTTTGGGGAGGGGGGTGAACAAAGACACACAAAGTGCACCGTACGGGAGATATTTTAGTCGGTACATTTGGGACGGTCGTAATCGTCAAATCACGCATTGCCGCGGTTGCGTACAGCACGCACGATGAAGCTCAACGTTCCTGTCGGCAGAAGCAGTAATGTCTTTTCCGTCATTTTTGCCACCGTTTGCTTCTGGGCCTCGCACCTGTGTGACAAGGCTATAAGGTATGGGAATCCAATGGTGAAGGTTCAACAACGATCAGTACAGCAGGCCTTGAGATCTGAGTTGGCTGCTTTTGCACGTAAAGTTTGTCCTTCGTATTTTTTTACGAGTTTGACCCCAAACCAGCTTTCGATTTCGCCACCCCATGACTCACCTCACTGCACTGAATCGATTGCTGAAGGTTTCAAATCACCCTCCCTCACATATTTTTAGACCCTGCACGTTTGGAACGGAAAAATGATGCCGTTCAGAGTTGTCAATATAGCTCAATGGGTGCAGTTCGCAGTGTTGTGCGCTATGCTGAATGTTTTGGAAGAGACACATCGTCGATCCGAATATTGAGAAAAGACCAGGTACAGAAATTACCAAATGGCGGCAAGTATGCTACGACGTAGCGCTGGATGGAGAAGTGGATGTGGTAAACTTGTCTGACTTTATCGGTTTTGAAACAAAAAAGCGTGACCATCTAGCCCCATTTCCGAAAGGGCGTCGTCACCGTTCGCCACCTCGGTAACTATCGGTGACCTGTGCGTCGTGTGGGGGAGGGGGGGGGAGCAACTGACAAAGGTCGTTCATAGAACCACCGTGCGGAAGCATCTTCGTCAACGCACCGGTCATATGTTCGGTCATGGTGTGGTCAAGCTTGCTTGCCGCAACTCTCACACCGTCTCTCTCAAAAACCAGCTCACCGAGCCGGTCGCCTCCGGGTCGGGCTGACGGAAAGCGGGCAGGGACGGCTAAAAACATGCCGTGATCTCTCAGAGTAACCGGTTAGTTGATTGCCTTGTCCTATGATAGAACAGTTCGCTGTCGCAGGCGCGACGTGATCCATGCTCCCGTGGCCTGCTATGGTCAGCATGAGAGACCATCCAGGGACCGTTGAAGGTGGCCGGAATACACCCAGAATACCACCGCCCAAACATAGGCTCCAGCGCGGGAACAAATAATGCTGAAGAACCGTGTGCACACTGGGTGATGCATTATTCATATGAGACCAACTTTAAGATGCTTCGGGGATCTAACCATTTTTTCTTTTTTTCAGGAACATGTTTCCTCCGAACCTGGTGCAGGCTGCCGGATTCCACGTAAGCGATCTTCTTTAATGATCTATCTTTTGCCAGCGTGTGTGTAATTAGCATGAAGCAATACCGACGGCAATTTAGCTAGGGTGCTACCGTGCAGAATGCGGCCAGTGTTTCGGTGCATAGTGGCCCAAAATAATCCAACGGACGTGGTATGCCGCTAACGCCGGCTGCCGGGCGCCGGCTCCAGTTCGCGGAAGCCTCAGTGACCTGGCTACGGTGCCCCCTGTCGTAGCGCCGGCGGCTGGCGCAGCTGTTTTGGTGAGTCGCTTCCCCGCAAGGGTCATGGTTTGTGGTCTGCACTGGCCGCATCAGATCAGTGACCTGGCTACGGTGCCCCCTGTCGTAGCGCCGGCGGCTGGCGCAGCTGTTTTGGTGAGTCGTTTCTCGCAAGGGTCATGGTTTGTGGTCTGCACTGGCCGCATCAGATCAGTGACCTGGCTACGGTGCCCCCTGTCGTAGCGCCGGCGGCTGGCGCAGCTGTTTTGGTGAGTCGTTTCCCGCGAGGGTCATGGTTTGTGGTCTGCACTGGCCGCATCAGATCAGTGACCTGGCTACGGTGCCCCCTGTCGTAGCGCCGGCGGCTGGCGCAGCTGTTTTGGTGAGTCGTTTCCCGCGAGGGTCATGGTTTGTGGTCTGCACTGGCCGCATCAGATCGCTGCCATTCCGCCAAACATCGGCATGTTTCCCGCGGGCACAGTCACTGATGCATTTCCCATTGGAATTCGTCTTTGTCCTTTGAAGCAATTTTCGTAACTGTCATTGAAGCATTCCTGAATGTGACATTATTCGCGATATTTTGTTTGACGCGATGCGCCGCAAAACATCATTTATCTGTGTTCTTTGTGTAAAACTAAAATATTTTGCATTTTTTTGCTTAGCAACCATCCACGAGGTGGCTTTTCGGGTTTCAACTCGTTACAACGTTTGCTAGCTTAGGGTCGTTACATCATTCACTTACTCGTTGCAACAAGTTACAAAGCATACTGTAAAAGAGCATGCTACAAAACATACTACAACATACAATGCTACGAACTATGCTATAAGGTATGATGATATAAGAAAACGATGCGACAAGATACGGTACGATAAATTAAGATACGATACGATAAATTACGATATGATAAGATGCGGTACTATAAATACCGTGGGATAAAATTCGGAGCTATAAACTACGTTCAAAGTCGGATCGATAACCAAGAAAGATTACACACGCACATACCTATGGCATGCAATCACACATATGACCAGCATGGGCTTAAAACTAAGGCGAATGACCTAAACATTTGCGTTTTCAACAGCGAGAGTCTAATCCCTTGGATGTCAGAGATAAAGACAGAGTGGTGGTCGGAGGGACGTGATCCCATGTCGTCGCGAGACAACAAGGAAAAGTTCGCTTGGTGACTTCCAATTGAGTTCACCGTGAGGTTACATTCGTCTTTAAACAGCGTGTTCAGCGCAAAATTCGCAAGCCCCGCCGCCGGCCATTGTAGAAACGCTCGTCAAGGGTGTTTTGTCCACGACATCGCGACACACGCAACCACACTAACAAACACAATCATAGTGCGCGCACAAACATGCACATCTCATACACCAAAGCAAACGCATGTACATTTACAAATGTGTGGTTAAGTCGTTGCTTATGCAGTTAATTTTGGGATGTCGAAATGACTAGAGTCAAAGTCATTTTCACGACGTCAGAGGCTTGGCGGGCCGAATCAAGCGCAGATACATAACACAGTAGTTGACAGAATGAATTTCGATATCATCTTCCCTTAAGACATACACTTAACAAGAGACAAAATACCCTTTATCAAAGTTCTCTGGAAATGCAGCTCATACCTTTCGTTTTATACGAGCAACGGTGGAGAAACATCTATTCTTATTCACTGACATCTCCAGCATGATGTCTTCTCCAATGCGCGCACGATAGGGGCAAATATGCTATTTTGAGATGCAAGATTGCCACTGATACGTACTTACTCGCATTTACGTATGTCCCAAATGGTCGTGAAATATGTTTTTATGTCCGCTTAGATGGAATACTGAGCAGGTGCGACTGCCACCATGTTTTTCTTGGAGAAGATGTCGGCTTATCACAGATTCAGAAAAGACAGCTTTAATTACATTTGCTAAAACAATATTAACGCTAGTAATGAGTTTATTTCAGTGACAGACAAATATATCAAACACACAATAAAACAGTATGCTCTGCCTGTTTACTCCCAGCAGTTTTGGTCGGACATTAGTAATTGTTAAGTTTTCCAATTTCTCATCAGTGATGATTTGTTCTTCGAAACACTATTAATGATGATCCGTGAACAAACTTTTAAACTTTCCAAACGAAAGAAAGGAAGTGAAAGGAGACGCATTACCCGAGTGACCAATGCTCACGCAGCATATTGCCTTACAAGATAGGAGAAAAAGGCCTCTGACGTACGAGGATGTAAGGAAGAACTTGAAGAGGCCAGATATCCTGAGATCAGTGGTCTCATCGTGAGGTCTATACCTCTCTCTCTCCTCCCGTGGCCCCCTGCCCGGAAAAGTTGAGGGGTCTTATTGGTGTTAAACAGACGAGGTCAAAATGAGGTAGAAATATGAAAAGAGCCAACCCACGTGTGCCTGAAATCGTTCGTTATTTATAAAATCGACGAGTGATACAAAGTGATTCAAAAATGTTGGGCCTGCGCGCTCGCAATCTCAGGAGCAAGAACAGCGATGGTCGAGGATGCAGGTGTCGTAAAACCGGACGGCGTAGCCGACTGCATGTAACAAACATACGACGGGGGCCGGCGTGGAACCGAGAAAGTCAAGGAGATTTTGAGGCGTGAAAGAGTGGTTCCGAAAGTCTTCCAAAATCAATCCGAAACGTTAAAAAAATTCACTTAGGCGAATCGCTTTCCAAATTTTGGGATTGTCCTCTGGACAGGTTAACAACTACAGGAATACGAAAGATTAAGATTCGAGCTTAACTCTTCCAGTTCCGCCACCAGGTTTCAGAAATGGTTCGCAGTGCTGTAAAAGCTAATTATTTCTACTTATCAATCTAAAAATCATGCAGGTGAAATATACACCCGAACTATATTCTAGATGTACATAGTGATGTCCTAAAGCGTTCAAAGGCGCTTCTTAAGGTGCAAAGGCATTTTTGATCAAATGAGGTCACAAAAGGTCATCTTCCAGATTCATCTCCAAAGTGTCCCAGAACCTAGGTAGTTGTTCTAAGAAAAAGTTCGCATGCTCATTTAAGGTCACTGGCCTTGTTCAACCCTTTGAAGGTCATGGTGATCAAAATCACACAAGACCACTTTGAGTTTTGCATTGGAATAGGTGATTAAGATAACGAGAGGGCAGTATGCTCCTAAAAACAAAATGTTGGTCTGGGTCCTTTTTGGTCAGCGGCCTTTTCTGGGCTTTGCAAAATCCGCGGGAGACGTATGATGCGGTTCCTGTTATTAATAAATTCGAAATGAGCACCAGAACCTAGCACATACAACAAGGCCCACAGTAATAAAACAGATTAGTTTTCATCTTGGCCTGACCTTCATACCTGACCTCATGTCAATGTAATACGTTCGTTCAACTGTTGTGTTGCCTAAGAAAGTATCTCAGCGATGTATGGCTCCGTCTAACACTCCGTTGTCGCATCAGATTGAACGATTCCCTAGAAACTGACATGGCAGAATCTATGGCCTAACTTTGACCTGCTGTAGATCAGCGACATTACAAGGTACACCCAAATTTTGAGTACTGAACGATCCGCTATTCAATTATCTACAACTATGCAAGATTTGGCGCGGTTACGTCGCGCCGTTCGGAAACCATTCTGGAAAAACCTTCGGACAGACCAATTTGGCCCCCACCCGAGTGTGTGCTAACCACTGCGCGCCTGGGAAACCCGAGGCGCGGGATTCGATGCCCCGAAGCGCTCGCGCTTCCTGTCAGGGTGAGAGGCCGGCGATGCCATATAGTCTCAGCAGCTGAGTGCGTCATAAATTCCCAGTGACATACCCATAATTTAAATGGTCCGATCCGAAAAGGCCCTGAACCGCCTTGCCCTTTATGTTTGTTTGCAGCCCTTTTTGAACAGAAATAGTGGCGCCATCAGAGATGTTATTTCCTAAAATCAGTTGGTAGGGATCAGCTAAAAAATTAACCTTACTCGCCCCCAAATCCTTTTCCCTTGGATGTTATCACTTTAATTTGCGTCCCTGCTGTATAAGATAATAGTAGTGCAAAATGCGTCGGTTCCAAACTTGTTTCGATGTCAAGGAATGACTTCTCATTTGAAGCCGACGTATTTGTGATAATGGTAATATTGTGGCAATGATGATAAAGTAATAATGATGATATTATGGTAAAGATTATGCAGTGTTTATAATGGCATGGTCATAATGATGATATGGTGATCATGATGGTACGTGGTATTATCATGATGATATTTTGTGCAGTGAGATGATGATGATAGTGATAGTGATGCGTCAAGACACCTAGCATGTCAGCATTTCAGACACTTGCTACATTTCATTGGCCCAATGCTCCATTTTGTTCACATGCATTGCGGGGGGAGGCTCAGAACAGCATTGCGGAGACTCGAAACAGCATTGGGGAGTGTGTGTGGGGGGGGGGGGGCTGGGCATACAAAGTGGCACCTCTGGGAGTAATGCTAGGAATATGATTTATTCGGCACTTGCGGTCCCGTAGCTTGGAAAATGTGCTCCCACGGGTCCGTTGCTTCCAGCGACTGCCATTGAAATGTTATCCGGCAATGGACCAAGAGTGGGTAGCCTTTTACTGCGTTGGCCATGTTAGATCACTGTATGGTACGTAAAACCAAGTCCAGCTCTGTCTGGCATGAAGTCGGCAGAGAAACTTATTCCATGTCCTGGACAAGTCTATCTTACGTGATGAGGTAGGGGCACACGCAGCAGGTTTTGCTTAGCAAAAGTTTCAAATTCAAAACCAACCATGCGAAGCATTTGATTAAATTTTTCGAAATAAGTGGAAAGAGTGGAGCAGCAGAGGGGCCATCCTCTCATGTAGCAAGGGTGCAGTGAAACCGCGAGGGTACAGTAGAAAAACGCCAGAGGAGAATCGGAACAGTGACGTGTCCCGATTGGAAAAAGGCAGGCTGCTGATGCAACCCTGAAAGTCTGGCTAAAGCACTGCTTGAAAATTCAAAGAATGGGTTTTCGTCTTGGTATTTGCTCATGCTATCACTTGCTCATAAAGGCCTTTCCGAGCTGGAGCTTTTTGATTCAATTTATCCACTGGCAGCTCGGCTTATGTTGGAGGGCAAAACTGCTGCTGCCCTCCACCTTTGCAAAACAAAGCGTAAGAATCGCCTTTGCTCCTCTCTAACTCCTCAGAGGATCTCTCAATCACCGTCAACACCCAACAGCCGGCGGCATTGGCCATGTCTGCCTATAATACTTGTTCAAAATATGTTTTGAATATATATCTGCCACTCATCCGATTACCCCGCTTCTCCTTTTTTAATTCCTTAAAAGAAATCGCGATGCATCGCATGACATTGAACTGTTGCAAGGTACATGTTTTGTTGCCTCCCGAAGTGTTTTTTCATAGATTTCGTGAAGTAGGCTCGACCCCACCGCCGAGTCCAAGCGCACGGTCGCCACTGCACGGCCCGGCCGCCGACCGTCGAAGCCGCCAACGCGCCGCGCGCGCGCGAGGGGCTCACTCAGCCATCCTGGACCGGTGCCTGGAAATATCCGTGTCCGAAGCCGTGATTTCCCCGCCATCCGACCCAACCCGGCCCAACCCAAGCAAGCCTTAGTCCAAGATAGCACCCCCACGCGACCCGACCTCACCCGAGCAAGACCAAGGCCAGGACCAAGCGTACCACCCGACCCCACCCCACCCGAGCAGGACCAAGGCCAGGACCAAGCGTACCACCCGACCCGACCCCACCTGAGCAGGACCAAGGCCAGGACCAAGCGTACCACCCGACCTCACCCCACCCGAGCAGGACCAAGGCCAGGACCAAGCGTACCACCCGACCCCACCCCACCCGAGCAGGACCAAGGCCAGGACCAAGCGGACCACCCGCCCCCACCCCACCCGAGCAAAACCAAGGCCAGGACCAAGCTCGACCTCACCGGAGCAACACCAAAACCAGGACCAAGCATACCGCCCGACCCGACCCCACCCGAGCAAGACCAAGGCCAGGACCAAGTATCCTCACCCGACCGGGCCGACCAACCAAGACCAAGCATTTCCACCCGATCCAGTCGGTTGCACGCTCTTTATGACGAGCGTGGCGTATTGGGCCCTCCATAGCTATTACGATTCGGTTATAAATACCGGTCGCGTGATAGTAAGCTGCACATAGAAGTTGACTGCATAGTTATCGTGCCTGTTTAACCGTACATTCGTTACAAGCTGCGGTGCTTCACTTTCGCATTATTTGTCATCGTTAACTAGTTCGGTAGAAGTTAACTGCACAGTTATCCTGCCTGTATAACCGTACGTTCGTTACAAGCTCCAGCGCTTCATTTTCGCATTATTTGTCATCGGTATCCAGTGGCGTCACTTGCACGGGTAGTTTTGACAGCACTGAGCATGAGCATTCACTCGCTGACTCAGATCTTCCAAAAGAGATGCGAAGCTCTATTTATTGGTGTGGCGATATCAGTGCTGCTGGTCGCGGCAACGGCACAGGGGACAGGTAAACAAACATGGCCGCCGTTCAGCCCCGTCGATGTCTGCTGGGCGGCCGTGCCAGCGCCGAGTGCGAGGCACGCGCCAGCAGACGGCGGGGCACCCGACAAACAGCAGCTGGACGCATCTCCAAGGTCGCCATCATCTCCTCGAGTGGCTGGCAATCTATTTTCATCGGAGCAATTGGCGGGAGACGCGGGTGTTGCCGCCGTAGACGCCAGCGCCGCTCATCCGACTGGCTCGGCCTGCGCCGTCGCGTTGGAGGGAACAAACGGGCCGACACAGCATTGGCAGGCGTTCCAGTTGACTGACCTCTGATGATCGCCGCGGGCGCTACTGGTGGAAGCAGGGGGGGGGGGGGAGGGGCATCTGTTTGCCCCCCGGGAGATCTCCCGACTGGTCGTGTGTTTGGCGATGGCCCCCAAGACTGGCGCGCCACGGCAGCCTAACACATTTCATGGCACCAACTTGCTGGGTGTAGTTCATTCAAGATTTACATCGGCTGCCTATGGGGAGCGTTAGCAGACAGGGTGGGTGTCGCGGGGCAGCTCCGTCACTGGGCGCGGCAGCAGTGATTCGGTTGTGAAGCGACGCTGGACAGCGGAGGATCGCCCCACGACGGGAGCCATTTGGATCACCTTCTAGCAGCAGACATGCTTTTGAATCTCCTGTTGTGATCACATTTCAATGTAGTTGCTCGTTATACATAGTGCAAAGAAATACGATGGCCGCTTGCTGTTGTTTAGTGCAGTCAGGCTCGGGAGCGCTGTGTGCCGGCCTGCTGGGCCGAGTCTTGTGCAGGACGACTGATGCCAGCCAGACGCGTCGCCTCGCTGTAGCCCCGGGCCAGGCCGCCCCGTAGCAGGTCGTGGTGTCGGTCAAGCTGGCGCCGGCTGTCACGTGACTGTGCGGTCTCTGTTCCAGTACCGCACCGTCCTGATCACGCCCACTGCAGAGCAGGAGGAGGCCTATCGTCAGAAAATTGGCAACGACTCGGCTAGTAAGTGGGTCCGTGGGCGGCTAGCCCACAAACCGGCATCAAGCTCAATTGATACTGGCTGCAGCGTTTGCATACCGCCGTTTCAACATAAACTCTGCCAAGGCGGGGAGGGGAGGACGACGGGGGAAGTGGGGCGGGGTGACACACCTGCTGGGGCTAATACTGCGGTTCCCGCCCACCTACTGCGGCGAAATGTACATAATGGCAATGGCGACGCATGGCGCCTTAAAAAGCTTCGGCGCCTCTCTAGTGATCCACTGGCGACAGACCCAATGGGTTTATATATTTGTCTATATCACCGGTTACAGGGTATGGGGCGCACATGACACCGGGACATCGCTACGACGTTTAACACGCGCTCGGGCGGGGGTGGGGGCAAATCGACCCTCCCCGCCCCACCCGTGTGGACCTCTTTTTTAAATTGGCCGGGTGAGCCATGGTCGATCCCGTTTATAGCGAATGGGCGCTGCTATCGTATACGAGCTTAAACTGGAATCAATCAGGGGTCTGAAGCGTAATATAGGAGTGCATGCGAATTGCGCCATGAAGTGGTGTTTCTACCTCTTGTTCGTGGTAACGTCTATAGGCGTTATTTGGGGCATTTGTTGACGCGTCACGTGCCCCAATCATTGTCATCCGTGCGCCCCTATTTTGAGTGGTTTGTTGAAGAAATCAAGTGAAACTATGTGAGTACATTTCTCTGGTCATACTACGGTTTGAACGTTATCGGTCATTTGTAATTTCCTCCCTGTGAAGTTACGTCCGTGGTTGGATAAATGATGAAAAGGAACGCCTCACGCTTGACTTGGATGTCACATCGAGCAAACGCAGTTTCGCTCTTACATAATGTCGGGGGAATGGCTCTGATGAGCAGCTTGATCTGATGAAGCGGGCATCGTCGCACTGATCGCTTCACTCGTGACGTGGAACGCCGGCAGCACGTCCACGGACAGCGTTCTACGCGCTCACGGGGCTCTGTATCCACGGGCCCTCGCCAGGCTGGGGTGGGCGGGCGGTCCTTACCAAACAAAACCGTCCCGTCTTGCCACTTGACGGACTCCAGATCCTCACTGCTTGACTCCGGCCACCGCGACCGGTTTGAGACAGGCGGGGAGCGCTCCATAGATAGGAAAATCTACGGAGCGCATCTACAGAGGAGCAGTTTGAGTGAAGAAGTACCTCTCAATGTATTGCCGAACATCGCAAGTTCACCATGCTACACGCTCCAGCTCCAAATCAGCGTCGCTTTACAATAAAAAGCGATGACGATTTTTGCTAGTGATGACCTTCGTTGTAGCATAGCAGGTTATTTTAAAATATTCCCGCACAACTTTATCCATAATGGTATGAGTAACATCATATTTTGCCACAACAAAAACACGGAACAGTTGGGGAAAACAAACATGCAAGGCGTGGGACCGACACAAACAGCTGTTATGCGCTCACTAGGGGAGTGCGGTTATTCGCTTGTCGGCTTTGCGTCACAGTAATGGGCAGCTTGCTTCATCCAGATCAAATACTATAATGGTGTTGATGTTGGTCCACATAGGGCGTTGTTAGTCAATGACTACTGTGCACTCTACTGGGCATCCACTTTTATGTCAGTGTGCAATTTAACTGAGACTCAATATGGCATATCGTGCCTAAATAATCACGGCTTTGCAAAAGTGATGGCTAGAAATGTTGTCAAACATTCCGAAACGTTTCGAAGCGCTTAATATCAACGTTAATGATTGCACAAACGTCTCGCAATCATTTATAGGAATACGTGTTTCTCGATGCACGCAGTGTTGGTTCACTATCCAGTAGTGTACGTCCATTATGTAGTGCACGTCCACTATCCAGTAGTGCAGTACTATCCAGCTGTGTGATATTTACGCCATCAGTCGTTATGCAGATTCAGTGCAGAATGATTTTGACAAATATTGCGTTCCACTCATGCTGCTTTCCTTTTTCTGGAGCATGCAATATATACTCCCACACACACACACACACATACACACACACATATATATATATATATATATATATATATATATATATATATATATATATATATATGTGTGTGTGTGTGTGTGTGTGTGTGTGTACACACATATGTATCACGTTTCTCCTATGCATTTATGTAACGATGTGAAGCTTGCAGCATACAACGATTGAGATTAAGAGAAACTGACAAAGGAATAGATGCCCCACATGTTATTGAAAATTAAGATGCGATTGCGCAACATGCCGGAGAGGCATCCTCAAAATATGTTAGATAGGTGGCATCAACCCCACCCCCTATCAGGATGTGTGTTAACATGCCAATCAGATTACCATGTGAATACAAATTTTATTATGTACCACATCCTTTTCTGGTTATGATCAGTAGGTGAGGCTACAACTGGATGAACCTCACTCGGTAAGATTTTGAACAAGCCACATTCTATATCTTTCAAAAGACATGTACCGGACGGCAGTCACACAACCGCAATTCCTGACTGGTGATGTTCTTTTTTGTTGCAGAAATTCCAGTTCACATGTTTGAAATAAGTGGCCAGTACAAGGAGAACTCAAACATCACGGGGCTTGTCGTCTTTTCAATTGTCTTCGGCATCGTGATTGGAATGATGAAGGACCAAGGCAAGATTCTCCTGCAGTTCTTCACAGCCATGTCCGAAGCCGTTATGCACCTCACGCGGATCGTCATATGGTCAGGGACAAATGTATCACTGTATCAGCTTGTGAACGTGCACGTCTTAGTGGCAATCTGTCCAGCACGGTGTTGCTCCCAAGCTGGATATTAACGGTTAACCAACATTCTAAATGTGTGTGTCACGAAAGCATGGTCCAGTCTCTGTCAGCGACAACCGGTTAAAACCCTTTTAGAGGGGCGTTGATGGTCAGATCTGGAGCTAACCAGAACGTGGGGCAAAACTGACTGCCTCGTCGGGCTCAAGAGAGCATGTTCGCTTTTTCTCCCGTCCATTGTTTTCATCGAGCAATTCTTGAGGGCATGTCAATCCCATTGTCAAATCTCAGTCGCCAGCCCCGTGAGGGTAAAAAAGATCCAAAAAATTACCGAAATCTCTGAATGTCAGGTATCTCTTGATTAAAACAAAATGCAATATATTGTATCGCAACATACTGTACATTGCTTAGATAATTACTAGACTTGCGTTGCTTGGTGTAAATGAAACTAGCCGATAATGCCCTATCCATCCGAGAGCGTGTCTAGATAAGTACTATCAAGCACTTTTTTATCTTGAACATTTTTTTCCAGCTCTTTGATTGGATGGATTTCGGGGATCAGGATCCATGCTAAGTGGTACTTGCTGAGTGAGCGTTGACGCCAGTATCTGACCGCGATATTCCAGGTCGACGGCGGAATTTGCGGCGAAAGTCTGACCCACCACAGTCCTTTGTGCGTGTCATCCTGGCCTCTGACATCACCTGACCTTTAGCGTGGCCGCTGCCGCTGGCTTGAAGGCCGGCCCGTGCTGGAGTTAGAGCTGTAAGGAGGCAGGCTGGTGTCCAGTCCGAGTCTGATAAATGTTCTCGAATTCACCTCTGCTGCGATCATCGCATGATACCGTCACACATCGCATCACACATCTCACATCACACGATGTCATGGATTGTGACAGACAGTCCTGTTTAAGTTATTTATTTTTAAGGCTAGAAATCCTAGGATTGCTAAGATTCTTAGATATAAGATGAGAAATCTTCAGAATTCTTAAGTCGGGATCTCGGGATGCTAAAGCCCGAATTCTTGGATCAGGGTTAGTATGTAACCCGGGGCCTGGGACGAGCTACCCAATATCGGACAGCTGATAATGAAGCCATACTTTTAGTTTCGTATGCATTTTTTTGTATTTTAGTGGACCAAAACAACGCATCATCACAAGACACCTATCATCGCGTACCATCAACATTGGGGCAATTGTTATCACTACAGTTTTACGGAAATTGCCTCTCTCCTATCCGTTGAGTCCTTGCATTCGGTCGTGTTCGTTGATTGTCCAATTATTTACCTGTAGGAATCTATTTTCGGTGTAGACGTTTAATGCTGCACTCTTGTGTGTCGATGTCTCAGTGTGTCGATGTCGATGTCTCAGTGTGTCGATGTCGATGCCTCAGTGTGTCGATGTCGATGTCTCAGTGTGTCGATGTCGGTCGATGTCTCAGTGTGTCGATGTCGATGTCTCAGTGTGTCGATGTCGATGTCTCAGTGTGTCGATGTCGATGTCAATCCAGTGTCACGAACTTTCGCGTGGTGTGCGATATGCTACGGATGATAGACATGAGCATGGTGTCGCAGGCTGTCACCTGTCGGCGTCTGCTTCCTGATCGCGGCCAAAATCCTGGAACTGAAGTCGTTCTCGGTGCTGTTGGGTCAGCTGGGCATGTACTTCGTCACCGTTATGCTGGGCATCATGCTGCACGGTTTCGTCGTGCTGGTGCTCATCTACATGGTGATCGTGAGGGAGTTGCCGTTCCGCTACATCGCCAACATCAGCCAGCCGTTGGCTACCGCCTTCGGCACGTCTTCCAGGTGAGGCTGTTTGCGGGAGCAGCTCGCCGTATTCGGTTCTCCGCCTCCGGACAGAGCTCAGCGGCCTAAGCTGCGGTGCTGTCGTCAAATGCGCGCCGAGGTCCCGTCACATGCATGGCTATCCTGAGGGACATCAACCAGATACTGATGTCTTGTTGTCTTATTGTCACGTATTCACGACACGTCAAGACGCCGCATGTGATGCCTTATTGTAATTTTGTCTTAGAGTGGAGAGGTCCCAGCACGTTGGCTTTTACACATGCAGACGTGTATGCTTGCACAAGATAGCTAATAAGTCTTTGGCAAAAGCACAGGGCGAGGTTCTCGACCACAAAATGTGTGACTAGCCCCGCGTTGCCTCTTCGCCGCCATCCAGCCGCGTTAGCAGGTTGCCAGCAAGCCGCGTAGCCCGCGATTCTACAGAATGCCACCGAGCTGTCACACCAGCCGACCCAGCCGAGCGGCCACGCCAGCCGAGCCAGCCGAGCGGCCACGGCAGCCGAGCCAGCCGAGCTGCCACGCCAGCCGAGCTATCATATCAGCCAATCTGTCACACCAGCCGAGCTGTCACTCCGGCCAAGCTGTCACACCAGCCGAGCTATCACACCAGCCAAGCTGTCACGCCGGCCAAGCTGTCACACCGGTCAAGCTGTCACGGCAGCCGAGCTGTTACGACAGCCAAGCTATCACACCAGCCAAGCTGTCACACCAGCTGAGCTGTCACGCCAGCCGAGCTGTCACACCAGTTGAGCTGTCACGCCGGCCAAGCTGTCACACCAGCCGAGCTACACCAGCCAAGCTGTCACGCCGGCCGAGCTGTCACGCCGGCCAAGCTGTCACGCCGGCCAAGCTGTCACGCCGGCCGATCTGTCACGCCGGCCAAGCCGTCACGCCGGCCGATCTGTCACGCCGGCCGGTGCTGCCGGCAGCTCGGCCGCCCTGCCACTGACGATCGCTGCCTTGGAGGAGAAGAACGGCGTCGACCCGCGCGTCGCCCGCTTCGTCCTGCCGATCGGCGCCACCATCAACATGGACGGCACGGCACTGTATGAGGCCGTGGCGGCCATCTTCATCGCCCAGGTCCGCGGCGTCTCGTTGGGCATCGGCAGCATTATCGCCATCAGGTCAGTGAAGGGAAGCCGCATCGACATGGGGTCCGAAACTGGCAGAATCACCGTCATCGGGCCAGTGGCGAAGAGCGCCACTGTCCACAGGCGAATATTTATATGGCCAATGATATTCATCATTATCACCATCCTTTCGATTCAGTAACCGACAGCACCGTCATCAGCGAACCAACAATGCGTATTACCGTCATCAGGTCAGCAACTTGCAGCAGCGATATCTTCACGCAAGTGACGGTGGTCCCATCACCGTCACGTTGGTGATCAGCGCCATCATCGCCTTTATGTGGATTACTGACCATGTCATTATCACGACAAAGAAATGGGCAAAAATATCCGTTGAGAGCTGTTCGTGGTGAAATTAGCTGCTGCTGAAAATGAACACGGTACGCCTCAAGGTTTGACAAAAATTTGTCTTCATATAAGTCATGGCTCTAATCCCGAGTGTGGAAAAACCAGCGCTGTGCATGCATTTATTAAAGGGGCTTATATACCTAAAAACCCGTTTTTGAGTTGAGTACACAGTAAATAGCGGTAACGTCTATTTGCTGATCCAGATTTGCCTATCAAATACGTTCCGTATTTGATTTGAACATTTTTGTATTTCACCAACTTTCAACCCTCTGCTTTTGGTTACGCACTACTTGTCCTTAGCAAAACCCTCGTTTTCCCTGGCTTTAGGTCGTGTGTTTGTATTTGTTCGCTCAAAATCCATCCACGAGGTGGTTTTTCATGTATTTGGCTCGTTACAACGTTCGCTAGGTTTGATTCATTACATCACTCACACATCGCAAAATGACCTCAGCGACTGATACGCTCACAGTCCCCCCCCCCTGCCTCCCGCTCCCTCACTTGTTGCAGCACATGAAAAGTACTGTAGAATATGATGTCACGAAATGTGCTACAAAACACGATATTGCGAAATAGGCTACAAAATATGATGCTGTGAATACAATGCGACAAAATATGGTACGATACATTGCGATACGATAACATACGATCCTGTACAATGTGTACACAATCAAATGATGATTTCAAAAAAGGTTCTTAATTGACAACAGAATGTGCCAAACCCAGCGCACACACACAAAGATGAAGGAATATCAATTGAAAGCACATGGAATCCGCACTGACATGCAAAGATCACACACGTGCATACCTGTGACGTACAATCACTCGAGTAACCGGCATGGGCGGCACTGCCCCCAGATGACGTCATATCACACACGTGCATACCTGTGACGTACAATCACTCGAGTAACCGGCATGGGCGGCACTGCCCCCAGATGACGTCATATCACACACGTGCATACCTGTGACGTACAATCACTCGAGTAACCGGCATGGCGGCACTGCCCCCAGATGACGTCATATCACACACGTGCATACCTGTGACGTACAATCACTCGAGTAACCGGCATGGCGGCACTGCCCCCAGATGACGTCATCAAAGCTCCAGTGACGGCGCTAGTGCTCGCGCAGGTCATGCACTCTCACGGTTTAAGGCAAAGGCACACAGAGAAAAACTTCGATATAATCCAAAACATCCTGAACTTTGCTTTCAGAATTGTTTTTGGTCGACGTAAATTTGACCATGTGTCTGACCCGCATGATACACTTCGATGGATGTCGCCTCGACACATGGCAGAGTCACGTGTGCGGTACACCTAGCAGGACAGACTCCTACACTTCCCAGGGCCGAGGACCGATGCAGACAGGAGACGTTCTGGGTACCAGGTGCCAGTATTGTATAATGCATTGACTGCCGACATGACAAAAATAACATAGTAGCCTTTCGTACGCGCAAGAGAGCGCACCTGTTTGAGCGCATGTATGATTGGTAGCCGGTGAATGGGTGTCTCTGTGTTAATTTTTTATCTGCATGCCTTATGTCCTGAACCATTGACACGGGGCTGTGATAGTCACTCCCTGGGCTCATAGCCACACTGGGCTGTGATAGCCATTGTGGCTGGCCCTGCGGAAGTAATGCAATGCAATGCAATACGATCGTTTCTTGCTAAGCAGTATCGGGGAAGGGACAAAAGGCTTTTGAGAACGAGAAGTGTAAGCCAAGCCTCCGATATGCGCAAGACGTGCGCTGGGCATGCGCACGATTACGCTGCGTTCAGCGTAACGGTCAAAAAGTTGCCCTCCGGTTGGCCACTACCCGACCCTGGCGTCCGGCCGGTCCCAACGGTATCCAGATTTTTCCAGATCCGGTTTTTCACATATCTTCAAAGACTCAAGCGCGATTTGCTGCCAGAGCTGAGCGTAAGGTTGCGTTGTCCAGCCCCCTGTGGCAACGTGTCGGTTGTTTCTGGTCAAACTTTTCCCATTCAAGCGTAACGTAATTGACGGACTGTCCCTGTTATGTGTATTTTGTTTGAAGTTATCACTATACGTTGTTAAAATCCAACGAAGTTCTTCTCCTTAGCACGTGTCCAGTGTTAGGTGAGCGCTACATTACAGAGGTCCAAACATGATTTGACTTGACTTGACTTGACGTGTCGCCTGCCGAGCCACAGCGAACTTTTTCGCGTGGTTTCAGAAACGGGTTTCCAGAGGAGAAAAGGTGAATAGTTGTGTCCGATCAATGTGATCTATACCCAGCATCACGTGCATCGTAAATTATTCTTGAACGACCCTCGGTGTAACCTTTCATCGCTGTGTAGCCGAAGTCTAATGCTGCAAATCCTGAGAATAATGGAACAGTTCATTTCCAACGAGATCGGCTAGACATATTGCATGAATTGCGCACAGAAAAATGGCTGTTTATCATAGAAATCCGTTCCTGCTCATATCATTCTTTATATGAATTTATGAATAACAATAAAGCTGTTGATCGAAGTCTTACGTGGTCGGCCCACAAGCTAATCTAAATTAACGTGGCCGTAGAAACGGAGAGATAACTCAGTTATTTCGAGTCAACCCACACATTTCGAGGGTGAAGTGTCATGGATTACAAACACAGATGAATTTGCTACGCATTCAATCACCAACATAGGTCACACGCAAGTCGTTTTTGCACAAGCCACAATGCACTGGACCCGCATGGTAACCACACATTCTTCAGCAGCGCTTTAGCACACGAGTTCGTCTACATCTACCAAATCATCTTTGCACTGCGAGGCCCTGGATTCACGTGCCAATTTTGTGCACTCTTCTAAAAACCTACTCTCCTATATCACCCTCCTAAAAGCAAAGATTTCCTTCCGAGGGTTTTTTATTTGCCATATTTTGATACTGATTTCTTATTGACATTTTCAATCAACAATGTCAATCTTGTTTGTATGCAGCAAGGAATGGAATTAGTTGCTGGCATATCAACAGTAATCGGACCTGAGATAAGGCCGCATTAGTGTTTACCCATGTTGCGCCATATATGCATGCGTCGAAGCTGACGAGACGCGCGAGGGCAAGAAAGGAAATCCTCAGGAAGAATCGTTTGGGTCATTCTTTTGTAAGTAACCCGCGATCTGTTTACCAAGACAAAGTCAGTGATTTTCAGCTCTCAAATGTCGCCCTCAAAATTTCCATTGCGGCTGGAGTGTTGTCACACACTCCGACAGCTCAAAGGAAGCCGTTCCTGCAGTCACCGCAAATGTCAGATCTTTCAGATCTAGCCGTTGGCACTTGCCAATGCTGCCACAGCGGTAGTGCGTGTCAGACTACATTGATTCTGAAACACACCCGGCAATGTCAGTGGGAGTGTTGTTTTGCCACAGCAGTGGGATTCGCCGAGAAATGACTGCATTTTTTGAGTCCTCTTATCGTGCCCATAACAAACATTTCTGCACTCGATATGTGAGGAGGCGCCGGATGCAGCGTAACCGAAGCATGGGGCGCAAGTAATGCATTTGATCGTCACTTTGAATCACCTTTTCGCCGTCACGAACGCATGACCTAAACATGAAAAGCCGCCAGCGACCGCCGACAGCATATGACACATGTAAGTTTGTTTGTGTATTTTTTTTTTACTTTAACTACCCGTCGATGGGACTGAGTTATCAGCCGACAGTGTTTTTGCGACGCGAAAATGTACGATTGCAATAACTGATAAATTTTTTGATAAAGTTGATGTTTGGACGTATCGTGCGCAGAATGGCGTATAAATTGGTCATAAACAAGTGCTTGCGGGCTTACTTCCTTAAGCGACGGAGCGTCTTGGGACGATTTGTGTTTGCACTATTTCGGGTAAACTTACACTCACGCCACTCATGAGATTCCCTGGCCGACCCAAACATTGGCTGCCGACGACGACATTGGCTGCCAAATATTGGCTGACGGAAACCGAGTGTAATGTGATGTGCTGACTGCCGAGGACATTCGAATCTTACTCTGCAGATTTCCATTACGGCTGGAGCGCTGTTATGCATTCCAAAATTCAAGAAAGCGTTCTTACCATCATTGCAAATGCTAGATGTTCCTAATTTCGCAACTGCCACTTGTCAATGCTGCTGCAGTGTTGCAGTACTGTCAAACTCTTAAGTGACCCCGAAACACCCCGCGAAGCCAATGCGGGAGCTGTTTTGCCGTAGCAGCGAGCTTCACTGAAAGCTTATTGCATCTCGTGGTTTCTCGTACAGTACTCGTTGCAAAATACTTGTCACTCGATGTGTGCGTTTTCTTTGTCATTCCTCAAAGCGAGAAGTTGCGGTAATGCATATGATTAGCACCATGACTCAACTTTCTCGCCACAACGACTGAATGATGGAATGGGGGAATGACGGCCGCTAGACACCAACATACGGCTCGTGCGCGTTTCACGCTTTTAAAATGTGGATTAAGTACTAGCCGCTAGCCACGGGCGATCAACCGGCGGCATTTCGGTGACGCGCAAATGTGCAGGTGCGACCGTTCCGGTGAAGTTGATGTATGGACGGGACAGTGCACAGATGACGAACAAATGGGAGATGAATACTGACAATAAATCGGTGCGCGTGTTGACGGAAATTTAACCGAGCCTTTGTCTACAGTTTCGGCGACGGCGTGTTGTATTT